TTTTGTCCTGTTGCAATCACATTAACAACTTGTATGTCTCCACCGGTAACGTCCATATTATGATCTATTAAAAGAACTTCATCACTATTAATTTGCTGAAAATCGATACAGTCAGTAATTCTGACAGTATCGATTTCTTCACTATTATTCCTTAAATTTAAGCGAGGTTTATTATCAATACCATTATACTTATGAATTTTATTATCAGTCTCTTCTATGACTTCAGATTCAATGTCATGCAAATCATTTTCATCAATGACTGAATCTATTTCTTCCTCAAGACCAATATTCTTATAATAATTAAATAAAGTATTTTTCATCTACTTTAATGTTATATTTTTGATATAATGGTGTATTGATAAGATATACTAAAGCTTTGCAAATTACTCCAGGTCAAATCCGTTCAAACATGTAGTCACTTTTATGGGATACATGTCTTTTCAATTTAACTTGAATTGTTTGCATATCGTTAAAATTTCTCGGTAGTATTTGTAGCATATCGTTTACATCTATCAAAATGTTGACCACACTGCCTTTAAGACCTAATTGTGGATTTAAAGCATATGGTTTTAATGCACGAATCTGCATAAAATTTAATACTGGTGCTACCATTTTTTCTTCGAGATCTGTTAACTTTTGGACAGTCGGTGGTACATTAACGAATTTGAGACCATTACTAGTGGACAACTGTGCACTTTATTAGCAAATGCACTTTTTTTACATGTTCGACATATGTAGTCCGATAGATAATTTTTTATTTTAAGAAGTAATTCATGACCATTTCGTTCAATGATTTTTTCTTCATTTAACCTAATAACAGAATGTTCAAAAACAATCCTTCACAACAACAACAGATGAGTGAAGGAGTTTGTTTTCTACGCTTTATAAATTTTTATTGCAATTTATAAAATTCATTAAATTTTTTTCTTGTGACTATTTCATTAAAAAAAATATTTCTAAAACGTATGAAATCGTTTTTTCGATCGACACAATTTTTTATTTTTTTGGTTTTTAACTCATTTTGTGCATATTTATTGCTAAAATTTTTTTTTGAATGTAATATTTTATTGAGATAAGCACATTCTTTTGATTCTTTTTTAATGTAATCGTATTTACGGTATAAGTTTCTTAATCGCAATCTATATTGCCTTTTTTATTATTTTTATCTGTTAATAGGTTACAATGTTTAAAAAATTTTCTTCTATTATTTATTACTTCTCTTCGAACACAGGATAAATTTCTTTTTAATAACCTAACACGTTTAAAATTTTTCTTTCGACGATCAACAATAAAATCAGTACGGTTTCTAAAAACATTTATCCGACAACGATTATGCTCATTCTCTCTTGCTCTAAATATGGCACATTGTCTTAATTTCCGTATTCTTATACGCGTCTTTGAATTTTCCCTATTCTTAAAATTAATATTTGTTCTTAAAGTCTGCAAACGTTGTCGCGTTTTCAATTTTTCAATTCTTGTGAATTGAGGGTTTATACGCAATTTCCTAATGCGCTCTCGCGTTTGTATATCCTCCTTCTCTTTAATAATTTCATCTGAACGCAATTTTTTTATGCGTTCGCTCGGTTTTTCATTTTCATTCGCTTTAAATGATTCATCTAAACGCAATTTTTCGACACGTTCTCTTGTTTTTATGTTCTCATTCTCTAAAAGTTTCATCTGAACGTAATTTTCTAACGCGCTCTTGCGTTTTCATATCCTCTTGCTCTTTAAAAATTTCATCTGAACGCAATTTATTTATTTGTTCGCTCGTTTTGTCATTTTCCTTCTCTTTAAATGATTCATCTAAACGCAATTTTTTAACACGTTCTCTCGTTTTTTCATTTTCATTTTCTCTAAAAGTTCCATCTGAACGCAATTTTTTTATGTGTTTTCTCGTTTTTCCATTCTCATTCTCTTTAAACGTTTCATCTGAACGCAATTTCCTCATTCGTTCTCTCGTTTTTCCATTTTCTTTTTCTCTGAACGTTTTATTCAAACGTAATTTTTTCATGCGTTTACGAGCTTTTGCATTTTTTACCTGCAGACATTTCATATTTGGTGTAAGTTTCATTTTTCTTTATTTTTTTTTTTCATTATCCGATATTTCATCATTTGTATTTGAACGTGACCTCAATTAAAAATCATTGTACGTTACTTCTTCAATGGCTTCCACAAAGTCAGTTAATTGTTCATTTTTCCTAGTAAAGTTTTTAATTTCTTCATACTTATTTTTACGTTTTTTATTTCTTCTTTTGACTTTTTTTTAGTTCGCATAATTGCACATGAAAAAAACTGTTTGAGGACAAAATACTCTAATGCTAGGGTAGAAACACGAATAGGAAAACAGTTAAGCCAAAAACTGATTAAAAAGTAATTTAAAATAAGCAATGAATATTTATCGAATAAATTGAATAATTTTTTCAGTTAATTTGACCTTGCTCAGAAAGATAAAAAAAATATTTTACGGCGTTTTATATTCAAGTTTTTAACAATTTTGTCATCTAGTCGAGAGTGTTCATCTATTAATTCCGTTACGCTATGAATAATGTTTTAATGTCTTAAAAATAAAAAAAATTCCTTTTTTTCGAACGTTGATTGACTATTTAAAAATATAATTATGATAAGAATTAACTACTTCCCAAGAGAGGATCTAGAGTAGCGGTAGATACTCGGCGCCATGTCACCAGCACTTTTGCCCCTTACCCAACTATTACCCTTCGTGCAACTAGCGCGCTCTCGCGGCTCACAATTACAGTGCCGAGTAACACGCTACTCTATACTGAAAAGTTCGCGCGTGACGTCACAACACAATCTTTAATTGTAAATATCTCGATAACTAAGTAATATTACGAGATAATATTTAATATACGATCAATTATAGTCATTGGCTTCCATTTAATTCCAAAATCAATTTCATTCATTGAGTATTTATCGAGATACAGAATAGGCCACGCCCCTAATTCCGTTTTCCGCACATTTCAGTTCGATTTCTAGCGTCTTCTTTGTCCGTCTTACTTAAATGCCATCTAACGCGGACCTCTCTCTCGTGGCCACAATTTTTCTCCGATATATATATATAGGTATACTCCCAATATGTACATGAGCGAATGAACGGTTTATGTCCTTTTTACGTTAATAATGATAAAAAAAAAAATAATAATATAATATTAATTTAAAAATTCATACGGAGTATGAATAATAATTTGTATTCATGTATAATTAAAAAATATAAATAATATCAACTGAATTTATTCAATTTTCCTGTGTAAATAATAAAATAATTATATATACAAATGATTAAAAAAGAAGTAATTCATAAAAAATGTAAATGATAATTATTATATAAGTATGATTTTTACAAAATAATATCAATTTTGATTTCACGCAGTAAACATGGTTAATAAAAATATGTGTATAATATAAAGTGCAATATAATATAAACAAAAAAACATTTTTTGATGATTTCATTAAATTGGAGACCTTTAAATTATAAAATGTTAATTGTTATTCTTTTTTATTTTTATTTATATTTTAGTTTTGAGTAGAATTCTTTTAATAAGCATATATTTTATATAAAAAATTTTGTACAAACCGTGATGTAAATAATAAAGAATTGTTTGAAAAACAAGTTACAATTTTTATGGGATATTTAAATATATTTATTGCTTTTTTTAGGATTTTCTATCGTTTTGCTTATCATTTCCTATAATAATTATACAATTTTTTCTCTTTGATGATACTAAATTTATTTCTAAATCTTATTTATCGATTTGTTTCAATAAGTAATTTCGTATTAAATACTGTAACTAAATCTCTATTAGCAAAATCCATTTGATCAATGTAGTTAACTACATTAATAATTATACATAACTTGATTATGATTGTGGTATCCTAAGAAATCTCCAATCGCTGTTTTATCTAATCTTTCGTTTGTTAACATTTATGCATACACCGAACAAAATTTATATAAAAATTGTATAATAGCAGAATATTAATAAACATTGAATTGTATAGGTCTATAATATAATTATTGATATCAAAACAAAATTAATCAGGCTGTCAAACAAATTTAGATCTTATATTCCTGCAGTTTGAATAGAACAACTGGGATAAGAGTAACTTTAATTCCACTATCCACACTATATAATTTTTTTTTATTGAAAAAGAGAAAGAAAATTGCAGTGTACTATAAAGATTTCTACTAAAGTAGTTCTGCTGCTACGACTGTTCGTATTATTGTCCAGTTGAATCTCTGATCATTCTCAGAGATGATACACCATTTTTAGATAATGCAACACACAAGTATTGTTTAATTGTAATAACAAACATTTTATTTTATCCTAAGATTGGTCCAGCATTTTGTAAAATGCCTAATAGTAATTGTAACGATAATATTTTAGATCTCAATTCATGTGATCTGAAAAATAAAAATGATAAATGAAAGATAAATTTGTTAATTTCATTATTTAGTTAAATGACTAAAAGCATTCTTACTTGGGATCAGATGTTCCATCTGGTAGAGGTTTCATAGATAATTTACAAAGAGCTCGAAATACATCTTTTTTAAGTACATGTATAAATTTAGCTGTTACCATACAGCTAAATACATCCTGAAGACTATATGGAGAAGCATGAAATACTAATTGACCGTAGTGTAAAATAGACTGACCAAAACCTTCTTCTTTGCCTGACGTATTGATCTTGTAAGCTATAATGCTTATACCATCTTAATTCTGTAGCAACTTGTGAAGCGGTATCTGGATCAGATTGATTAAGCACAATGTTAGCTGTTTGTATAAGAACTGAATGAAATGTATCTGAAATTAATATATCTAATGCTGTACGGATTTCACCAACTTTTAACGAACATCCAGCTTCTTTCAGAGTTTGTGTGCTATCATTTCCAATGCTTTTTTGTGTTAACTCACGACGTAAAGCTGCTTCTTGACTTGGTAACTACTCTCTCCAAATACGTATTGCCTCAGACCACATACCAGCATTCTAAAAAAAGAAAGAAAATTTTTCACCAATTTCGTGACTTACACTCAATATTAATATGTATATTTTTCACAAACTTTTATTAAAAATATTTGACCGGCTTGATAACCTCAAATTATTGATATTACACTGTATTTTGATTACTATATTAAGCTATATATATATTACACTTAATATTAATATTAAGCTTCTTTTGTAGTGTTCTACGCACTTTGCACGGTGGTGTAACTTCAGCAATTTTACTATTTCTATAATACAAAGTGTAAAAAATTAGATTCGAATTATTCTTACTTTATTCGATTAACCAAAACTCCAAATATAATACTTACTCTAATAAGAAAGATGTACTATAATTTTGGCCTGCATTGATTCCACGTATTACACTCAAATCTTTCGCACGTTTATAGGTTGCTCGTCTCTGTATTAACAACGGATCTGGTTCGTTTGTATGTTTTTTTTCTTTTGTATAATAAATGTTATTAATAAAGTGCCCGGTTGCTGGGCAGTTAAAATTTTTATTGTGCTCCTTGATACAAGCGAAATGTCTGTGAAAATATAAAATAATTTTATGTAAAATAAATAATATTGAATTGAAAATCATTTCTGCAATATACAATATTTCATAGCAGTGGAAGTTATTTAATTTAAAATGTAAAGAAATATGTTGATATTTGTATATTCAAATACAAAGAGAAAACGAAAATTGTTTAAAAGTAGGAAATTAATTGAAGTTAATTATTGTTACAATCACATTGAAATGAATTGAATAATTCACTTACGTCGTAACAACACCATCGTTTCTTTCATATTCATTTACTTTATAATAAGAAAAACCGCCACTCATCCATTTTTTATCACTTTTATTTCTATTTTCTTTCCCTTTACTCATTCTAAAACTCTTAAAATCACTTTTGTTAATAATAAACTTTAATTTAGTTTCTGTTATTGTTGTAATACTTAAACAAACCAAGAACATTAACCTAACATGTCACATTTCATTTTATCACGTGATAAATATAGTGTCGACATCGCACGGAATAATTATGAAATTCCGTGTACTTTATCTAATGGTAAATGATAATTTATGTTATCGACTAAAAAAAATACTGGGAGACAATTCTTAAGGCTGGGCTGAAGTCAGAAAGTTTCCCGAGGTTAACTTTACGCCCTCGCGTTGTGCGGCGAAAAGCCGAAGCTCGATATCAATTGAAATTGAGTAGGTAACAGGGAAATCGTTGAAAAATGGTAATTTCCAGGGATGCATTACAAAAAGGGAGCCTTAGGGCACCAAGAAATTTACAAATCTCAGAATAATCTGTTCCGAGCAAGACAAAGTACAGAATATATATATCGTTCTCCGTCTCATTTTTCAGAGAAGACTGCGAGTTCGAACAGTTGACAAGCAATACAAGCACATCCCCCTCCCTCTGTTACCAAGCCTGAAGCTTATGATATCTAAACGTAAACAAAGCAAATGGAAATATGCTGGCTCTGTAGTCAGAAGGTTAGACATTTATTTTACCGAACGGTGTTCGATTCCAATTGCGGCAAAATTTTTTTTTTATTTGAATTGCATGTAATTGCAACTTTATCATGCCAAAAATGAGTTTTAAATTTCAATTTTTATGTAAAACTATTTTTCAATTAATCAATGACTAATGAGAAAATATTTGAACAGGGCCATGAACCTTTTTTTGTACAAATACATTGATAATAGACTTTTTAACAACTTATTCACAATAAAAAATAGTTTAAACAATCCGCGGCGAGTTCCGGCACTACGCCGGCAAGCTCTACCCCCACTCTCTGTGCCCAAGCCTGCAGGTTATAATTTACAAGCATAAATTGACGTATTGTAATCATAATAGCTCGGTGGTTAGAGCAACGATTTTTTATTTTGCTGACCAGGGTTCGATCCCAGTCGTAAGCAATTTTTTTTTCTTTTTATTGTTTGAGTGACTTTATATACTTGTAATTAATTGTTAATTTAATAAAATAAAAAATATGAAAAAATACAGTTATTAGTTTAATTTACTATTTATTATGAATCATTATAATTTTTTTATAATTATAAAAAATAAAAATATTTATTTGTAGACGATCCCGAGCTTCGCCCTCTGCCTCGCCCTCTTCCACGACCGTGGCCGCGGCCGCGCTGCTCGGCATTATTCCTCGGTGGACCGGAATTTCGCCGTTGCTGAAACCATTGGTTTCGCTTTGGCCCGCCATTTTGATGGCGACGTGCCGGTGCTGACGGCACCGGTGGTGCCGGTGCTGGCGGTATCGGTGGTGCCGGTGCCGACGGCATCGGTGGTGCCGTTGCTGGCGGCATTGGTGATGGGGCTGGTGGTGTTGGCGGCAGCGCCGGAGGAGGCGGGGGTGGAGCCAACAGGAACGGCTCATCAATAAATTCTAGCTGGGCCCGGAGGTTTTGCAGCCGGGCCTCTGAAGCCCTCATCTCCTCTTGGATCACTTTTCTTAAATCTGTGAAATGAAAATCATCAAACCCATCAGATTACATTTGAAACAAAATGTTATTTTTTCTATTTACAGTCATAAAATACGACGTGTATTGTTAAGTGACAAATTTAAATTATAATAATAAATAACTATTAATAGTTGTTTATCAATATAATTCTCATTTGTTGCTCAACAATATGATTAGTATTGTTGATTGTAAATAGAAAAAAAAAAAAATTTGGTTTAAATGTAATCTGATGTGTTTGATGGTGTTATGATATACAAAATAAAATATTAACTTACCGTATATATTTTGTATCCTTCGATCCATCTTTGTATCTGAAAAAAAAGTTTTATATATTAATTATTGCATTATTCACAACAAAAACTGAATAATTCAAAAAAATTTCTCGTGCACTTACCTCCGAACTTATTGCGATAATGGCCACGTTAAAACTAATATTGATAAATCTCATTGATCTCATTTCTCATCGCTTTCATTTGTTTTACGGACACATGTTTACACCCTTCAATTTACACGTGTTTTTCCGCGCAGGATGCCTCAGATGATCACTTAATACAATACCGTTGATTATCGTACATCCTACTGTATCGACCATAAGTCTTCATGAGAATTCGTGCAATCCTACACTGAGAAAATTTTTATGATTTCTGTAACGTATACTTACTGCAAGTATAAAGCATACTTAGGTAAAGAGTATATTTGTTACTTGGTTACACGTATATTCTATATCAATCTCTAGAATAAAATTTAACGTCAGATAGGGACAAATTTACTGTGCCGTAGCACATAGTCGACTTGACATAAGCAATTATATTAACTCCCGTCGATAATGTAGTTTTCTGAACCGATAATATTATTTACTTATCACAATTATATTGATTACATGAAGCTAAAATATTGTATATTTGATTGTGGTATACCTGATATATCTATCTTTTTAAACCACTTTGATTATAAATTGTAAGTTGTATACATATTTTTAAAAGATATGTATATTGAAATAATTTGTTAAACTGAATAAAGAGGTACATACTATAGTATAGTCGGACTGAGAAGAGAGTTTGGGACTATATCTATACACAATTTATAAGAAGACTTCTTTACCGGAAAATTATGTACCGGATATGGGGTATCTTATTTAGTTTAATATTTCAACGCAATGAGTGCTGTAATGTTTTATATTTTCCAACAGTGATTTCTCTCTATTAATTACGGTAGGTGTGAATTGCTAGTGTGTCATTGGCATGACGATTTATTATTATTATTTGTATTCTTGTGATTACAGTAGAGACTTTGTTTTTATTTTAAAAGTGTCATTATATTAAAAATACTATTTTTATTCAACATAATGAAACATTTCGTTGTAGAAATATTAATTTTAAGTGTAATATATATATAGCTTAATATAGTAATCAAAATACAGTGTAATATCAATAATTTGAGGTTTTCAAGCCGGTCAAATATTTTTAATAAAAGTTTGTGAAAAATATACATATTAATATTGAGTGTAAGTCACGAAATTGGTGAAAAATTTTCTTTCTTTTTTTAGAATGCTGGTATGTGATCTGAGGCAATACGTATTTGGAGAGAGTAGTTACCAAGTCAAGAAGCAGCTTTACGTCGTGAGTTAACACAAAAAAGCATTGGAAATGATAGCACACAAACTCTGAAAGAAGCTGGATGTTCGTTAAAAGTTGGTGAAATCCGTACAGCATTAGATATATTAATTTCAGATACATTTCATTCAGTTCTTATACAAACAGCTAACATTGTGCTTAATCAATCTGATCCAGATACCGCTTCACAAGTTGCTACAGAATTAAGATGGTATAAGCATTATAGCTTACAAGATCAATACGTCAGGCAAAGAAGAAGGTTTTGGTCAGTCTATTTTACACTACGGTCAATTAGTATTTCATGCTTCTCCATATAGTCTTCAGGATGTATTTAGCTGTATGGTAACAGCTAAATTTATACATGTACTTAAAAAAGATGTATTTCGAGCTCTTTGTAAATTATCTATGAAACCTCTACCAGATGGAACATCTGATCCCAAGTAAGAATGCTTTTAGTCATTTAACTAAATAATGAAATTAACAAATTTATCTTTCATTTATCATTTTTATTTTTCAGATCACATGAATTGAGATCTAAAATATTATCGTTACAATTACTATTAGGCATTTTACAAAATGCTGGACCAATCTTACGATAAAATAAAATGTTTGTTATTACAATTAAACAATACTTGTGTGTTGCATTATCTAAAAATGGTGTATCATCTCTGAGAATGATCAGAGATTCAACTGGACAATAATACGAACAGTCGTAGCAGAAGAACTACTTTAGTAGAAATCTTTATAGTACACTGCAATTTTCTTTCTCTTTTTCAATAAAAAAAAATTATATAGTGTGGATAGTGGAATTAAAGTTACTCTTATCCCAGTTGTTCTATTCAAACTGCATGAATATAAGATCTAAATTTGTTTGACAGCCTGATTAATTTTGTTTTGATATCAATAATTATATTATAGACCTCTATACAATTCAATGTTTATTAATATTCTGCTATTATACAATTTTTATATAAATTTTGTTCGGTGTATGCATAAATGTTAACAAACGAACTTAATTCCAAGTCTGCGTATCCAAGCATGTAGTGTAAAATTAATAAATATGAATCTCTCATCGGAAGTATGCTGGCTTTGTAGTTAAACTAAATCTAGTTGATTCTATTGAAACTATTTTCGATTTTTTTTGTAGAAACGAACTGCTATCAGATGATTCTGTTTTTTTTGAAGTGAAAACTTCTTTAGCGGCGTTGTAGACTTTTTTTGTAATGGGTAAAAAATGTTAAACTCGCGTCAGGACACGTGACCTGATCGAAAATTCGTAAGACGGATGGAGAGTAGACAGCTGGCGTGGCGTAGGAGAGGGAGTATCCCCCTCTCTTTCTACGGCGCGGCGAGAATGTATGCCTGCGCCGGCTGTTTCGTTTAGGCGGCGCAGGGCGACATTAAGTCAATTAATTAATTAATAATTAAATTAATTAAATTAATTTTTTAATAAATTAATTGACAATCGTCAATTTGATTATTATTATTTAATCTTAGCACTCACGGAGTGCAACCCGTCGTTAAAATTTAATCTTAGCAGGGCGACATTAAGTCAATTAATTAATTAATAATTAAATTAATTAAATTAATTTTTTAATAAATTAATTGACATTCGTCAATTTGATTATTATTATTTAATCTTAGCACTCACGGAGTGCAACCCGTCGTTAAAATTTAATCTTAGCAGGGCGACATTAAGTCAATTAATTAATTAATAATTAAATTAATTAAATTAATTTTTTAATAAATTAATTGACATTCGTCAATTTGATTATTATTATTTAATCTTAGCACAACGAAATACAAAACTGCTATTGATGCGGTCTTTATTAGACATTTGAATAGGTTCGAATCGAAACTGTTCGTTTCTTACTTCAGCTATCATAAACCGATCGTATCAGTTTTAGAGATTGGCGATGATGGTTCTGATAAGAATGATAGTGAAAAAGTCGTTGAAATTATGGATGAAAGTTAATCTTTTTGAGAGATAAACTTTTTAATGTAATATAAATTGTCATGTTTGTGTACGATAGCGCAATAAATAAATATTGTATTCTACCATATAAAAGATAGTACTTTTATTCTGATAATTAAAGCAATTCGTGCAAACTTATTCCCTAACCATTCCAAAATATCCAAAACGCACAACGTTAATACTTAAGTTTTCACTTCTGCCGGCACTCCCGGAGTGCAACCCGTCGTTTTTTTTGTATGAAAATGATACTCTGTAGTATTGAGTCTAATTCCGACTGAACTTCTCTATCATTTACTTTAGGAGGCATTGGGAAAATTTTCGAAGAATCCTTTTTTTTCACTAATGGTTTTACGAATATTTTAATTTTACATATTAATTAATTTTGGTCTGTATTCTTTGGTTTGATATTGATGTAAAATTTGAGTATACTTTAATTATTATGAATTTCAACCGAACGTGGTTCAATTATGCATTTGAATATAGCGGGAATTTCCCCCTCGGTAACTTAGCGACCTCAGCGCACTCTGCCCTCCAACGTTATTGTTTCACATTTCTGGTACAACTTTTATATAGAGAGTTTGGACTCTATGTCTACAGTCTTCATGGAATAAACAGTATTTTATGTATGTTTACTTTAAATTTACATGTGTTTTACAGTGATAGAACAATAATTGCAAGAAATAATTTCTCTTAATGAATTTTACGAGTTGAAACAATTATTTATATTACTTTGTGTAACTCTAGAATATAAACTTATATTTTATTGGGTTATATAGTGTAAAACAAATATTGTTTCTATTCGTATAGTGTTTAGGTTAAGTAATAAAGAGGTTTTGTTTTGACGAAAAAATTTAATAAAAACACATTATCTTCGTTTGTATAATCGTTGGTCATGTGTATTAATTATTAAATTTTCGTCTAGACAGAATATTATCTTTATTACATTTTGTTTTTAGTAATTTATTTCAGTGAAGAGTTATATACTCATTGGTGTGAGCAAACTTTTGTTAATAATTATAATTTACAAAGAATCATAGTCTGCTGTGCGATTGAATTCATTACTATTGATATAATTATTCTAGTCTGCTGTGCGATTGAAATTTATATCAATATTTATAAAAGAATCATAGTCTGCTGTGCGATTGGATTCTATTATTAATTATTATAGAGAATTCTAGTCTGCTGTGCGATTGAAATTTATATCAATATTTATAAAAGAATCATAGTCTGCTGTGCGATTGGATTTATTACTATTGATATAATTATTCTAGTCTGCTGTGCGATTGAAATTTATATCAATATTTATAAAAGAATCATAGTCTGCTGTGCGATTAGATTCTATTATTAATTATTATAGAGAATTCAAGTCTGCTGGCCGATTGAATTCATTACTATTGATTGATGTAATTATTCTAGTCTGCTGTGCGATTGAAATTTATATCAATATTTATGAAAGAATCATAGTTTGCTGTGCGATTGGATTCTATTATTAATTATTATAGAGAATTCTAGTCTGCTGTGCGATTGAATTCATTACTATTGATATATTTATTCTATTCTGCTGTAAAATTTTATATTAAGTTATTATTGTTATTAATTCACATATAATTAAGTTAATAAAAATTTGTATATTTGTAAGAAATAAAACTTTGAAATCAAAACTTTAATTGCTTTACCTTTTTATAACTATAATATATTTTTATAATTAAGACACGCAACAAAGATGTTAGATAAAAGATTGCAGAATATTATATTAAATAATTGGTTAGAAGATAATCATATTGATTATTTTGCTCAGTTATTACATCAACATTTTGGGTATGAATTTCGTGAATCATGGGCCCTACAGATATGTAATGGAATTGAACCAATACCTCAGCACAAAAATCATATTCAATTATTGCATAAAATGGATGTTTCTTTGCATGATCCTGCTGCAATATCGATGCTTGGTGGTCATTGGGTTTGTAGCTATTATGATACAAAATCAATCTACATTTATGATTCATATAATTCGAAAGAAGTTCATCCTGATTTCCAAGCTTATTTAGCACGTTTATATCCTTTCTATTCATTTGATCAGAACCCGATTCAATTTCCGAATGTTCAACAACAGATGAATTCGTATGATTGTGGCGTGTTCGCTATCGCATTCGCAACTTCTCTAGCTCATGGAAAATTACCGCAGCATCAGAATTATGATGTAAAGTCTATGCGAAACCATCTGTTGAATATTTTAAATTCACGTACAATCCTTGAATTTCCAAGTTACAAAATTGAAAGTAATAGCAGTAATGTACTTTTAGTTGCTAATGTGAAATCAGAATATGTAAAAATTACTAATGAGATAAAACATACCAGTGCTACCGACAATTCATTTGAAAATAATAATAATGATTTCAAAACTGCATTAAAGATATCGTCCGCACATAATACTAAAAAAGAACTATCAGATCAAAATAAACAGATAAAATCATATAAAAAATCGTGTAAAAGAAACAATTCAGAAATATCTAAAGTTCCCTTGTTAGATGATGTTTCAAAGAAAATAATTACTGAAAATCAAAAACTAACAGATTTGCATATGCTTCATTTTGGTATGCTGATGAGATCTAATACTACTTTTCATCATCAAGACACGGTGTTGATCCAGTGCCCTGAAAAAATTGTACCAATAAAGTCATGGGAAAAACATATACAAATAATACACAGTCGTCAGAGTGATCATTGGATATGTTCTTACTATGATGCCCGTCATATTTACGTATATGATTCGTTAAACAATAAAACACTAGATAAAGATCAAGAACTTTATTTACGATCCTTATATCCACAATATTTTGAAGATAGAAAACATATTCATTTCTTAAAAGTGCAATATCAACCTAATGTGATTGACTGCGGAGTATTCGCAATTGCTTTTGCAACTTGAATTGTATTCCATCAGAAACCAGAAAATTTAATTTACTATCATCATTCAATGCGACAACATTTATTAAAGATGTTTGAATCACGAGTTATCACGCATTTCCCAGCAACAGATAAAAAACATAATGATAATTATATATATTATCTTTAGACAAGCTCAATAAAAATGAGGAAATGGCGCTCCAAAAGCGATTCAAACGGTTACAATTGAATAATTATGAAGTCACTAATCAGAACAATTCTCATGTAACATCTGAGCCGAAATATTCCGATAGAAAATTTATGATATCTAAGAATACAGATGAACCTACACTCGATAATAATACATCAGGAATGTCAATTAAAGAAAATGATATGAAAAACATTGAAAACTCACAAGTTTTTCTAGATAAACGTCCTGATAAAAAGAGAAAATTTTCCGATGAATTAGACAATGATGATAACAGGAAACTTCACCAACAGGTGAAGCGTTCTAAACAAGAAAAGAGTTTGTGTATGAAAAAGACAAACGATAATGAGAAATCAAATTCCAATATTTATTTGTCCAATTTTAAAAATACTGATATAAGTGACCGACAACTGATAAATAAAACATTACCGGTTGTAGTGAAATCAAATAAAACAATCACTATGGATAGAAATAAGAAATCTCTATTCCAATCGAGAAAAATTCCTGCGACACTTGATAAAGAAATTTATATAACAAAATTGCAGGATGTTCTTGATCATGACAGTTCATCAATTAACGATCCAATCGAAAATCGGTTATTATCCAAACGGATAATTAATTGGTGTTTCTCGCAACGAAGTGTCTATGCTAGTCAACTTCGGAGATTCATAAGAAATCTTAAAGATAAGTCAGATTATTTCCACACGAAATATCGTACTTCTGAAACGA